TGAGGCTTTCTACTCCCGTAAAGATTTACACCCTCGGAAACCCTGTACAGGGTCGCTATGGGTCGGAACCGACTCGATGGCACTTAACAACAACAACAAGAACAAGGTGGCACTTACAACAAAAACAGTACTATAGAAATGGATATGCACATTGCTTGATATTTACATTATTAGCTAACATTTATTGTGTGTATATTACATGTTAGGTATGGTATTGAGTATTACGCAGACATAATCTCATTTAATCCTTAAAATAGTCTTCTGAGGAAGTTCTATCATCATCCTTTTATGTAAAAGGAAATTAAGACTCAGAAAGATGAAATAACTTACCCAAAGGCAGAAATATAAATGACCTGAGAATCCTTATAGAACATTTAAAGATTCATTAAAAGTAAAAGTTGAACCAGCAGATTTCTGTGATTCCTACTTGAAGAGTCAGTAGGGTATGGAATGAATGCTGAAGTAAGGGTAAACGTAGGAGATAGGACTGGGTCCACATCTGTTGTTGTTAAGTGCCCTATCTCTTACTTTTTATGAATCTTTAAATGTTCTGTAAGGATTCTCAGACCATTTATATTTCTGCTTGTGGCAGATTACAGTTCTCAGTATATTCTGCTACTGTCAAAGGTGGGAGGAGCTCTGGTAGCGTAGTGGTTACGAATGGGGCTGCAAACCTCAAGGTCAGCAGTTCGAAACTACCAGCTGTTCCACGGAAGCAAGATGAGGCTTTCTGCTCCCATAAAGATATACAGCCTCAGAAACCCTGTACAGGGTCGCTATGAGTCGGAACCGACTCCGCGGCACATAACAACAACAACAACATCAAAGGCAGGCTCTCTTGGCCACTGTGTTACCACTTGCTCTGCTGTGGTGTCCACTGCACGGGTCAGACTGTGGCTGCTTCCCCTTTAAGGGGCAGACAGCATCATTGACAACTTCCTGACTGGAGGTACCCAACTCCGCTCTGTGGGACAAATGTTTCCACAGTTCCCACCGCAGTTATCTTCTGCCTGGTCGCAGTTATCTTCTGCCTGGTCACTGTCTGCCAGTCTCATGGTTTTCACTGTGATACCACTGCCGCCGTTTCTCTGCTGCTGTATTCTTGTTGTTGTTGTTAAGTGCCGTCAAGTCGGTTCCGACCCATAGCGACCCTGTACAGGGTTTCCGAGGGTGTAAATCCTTACGGGAGTAGAAAGCCTCATCTTTCTCCCGCGGAGCGGCTGGTAGTTTCGAACCGCTAACCTTAAGGTTCACAGCCCGATTCGTAACCACTACGCTACCAGAGCTCCTTATGTATTCTTAATTGTCTTTGATTTTTTGACTTTGTGTGAAGATTCCCCCCCTTCACCATGCAGTTTTGCCATGTACAAATATTCATCGCACATTACCCTTGCTTTGCAACTCGTTAATTAATTCCACAAATGTTTATTGAGCTTTTACTAGAGCCGGGCACTATGGGGCTGAAGTTGCCAATAATTGAAACAAGTTTCCTCCGTTGAGGAGCTTTCAGTCTAAGGATTAGACAAAAAATAATTATTATTAATAATAAAATTAACTATTAGCAACACAAAACAAATATGCATGCTAAAGGAAATAAATGAGGTGTTGTTTTTTTTTTTTCAGAGTCAAAATTAAGCAAATAATAGGTTGTTATTGTTGTTAAGTGCCGTGAAGTCGGTTCCGACCCATAGTGACCCTTGTATAGGGTTTCCGAAGATGATTTTGTAAAAGGGGCAAGGTGATAGTATACCTTACAATCAACTAATCAGTAGCCATTAGTCTTTAAAACTGTATTGAGTGACTGGTCTACAGGTCTACAGGTATCTTCTCCTAGGAATGCAAGAGAGAATTTCTTTTTTTTTTTGAAGTTGTCAATGACTTCATTTTGTTTGACTCCAAAATCGACAGTCATGAAAGCAGCAATTAAGAAATCAAATGACATATTGCATTAAGCAAATTCGCTGTACAAGACCTCTTTAAAGTGTTCAAGAGCAAAGATACCAGTTTGAGGACTTAAATGTATTTTCAACAGCCTCATATGCATGTGAAAGTTGGACAATGAACAAAGAAGACCATAGAAGAATGGATGCATTTGAATTAGTGTTGGAGAAGAACACTAAAAGTACCATGGACGGCCACAAGCACAAACAAATCCTGAGATGGCTGTGCACCAGTGCAAGCCAAAAGACTCCTTTTTGCTGTGTCTGCTGAGCTCAAGAGAGAATTTCTTAATAAGAGCTGCTAATTTGTTGTTGTTTGTTTTTAATCAAGTGGAGACAGAACTTGAAATCAGACAAGGATATTATTGTCAATTTAGCCTGGCCATCAAGATTTTTTAGTTTCTCTAGGTTTCCTTCAGCAGTGGGAATCTGGATAGAAAGAAAGCTAATGCCTTGAATTTCAAGGCAGATTTCTTTCCATTTATTACTACTCTGGTGACAGGAACCTGGGAAGAGGTCAAGGTGTGCTTTAGCAAGAGACAGCTCTCGGGAATGGTGCTGGAAGGGCAGAGACTAGCAGAGGACAACGAGAGACGGAGATAAAAGGGCGCATGAAAACGAGCTAGGACCCCAAGGTGAGAACACAGAAAAACTCTCCACCGCCAGAGCTGCGCGCCGCTCAGGTGGCAGTTTCCCGCTCAGGTGAGCTCCTCCCGCGACTCCCATTGGCTAAGGCGCTCGTGGCGCTGGGAGGGCGACGCAGTCCGGTCTAGTTCAGGGTCTAGGACGGCGCGTCACTTCCGGTAGCGCGGAGCTTGTAAAACACCCTGGAGAGAAAATGGCGGCGGCGGCGGCGGCAGCGGCGGCGCCTCAGCAGCTATCGGATGAAGAGCTTTTCTCCCTGCTCCGCCGTTACGGCCTGTCTCCTGGCCCAGTGACGGAGAGTACCCGCCCAGTCTACCTCAAGAAATTGAAGAAGCTTCGAGAGGAAGAACAGCAGCAGCAGCACCGGTCGGGGGGCCGCGGCAACAAGACGCGGAACAGTAATAACAATAACACTGCAACCGCCACGGTCGCAACCGCGAAACCGGCGCCGGCGGCCGTGGGCATGGGTGTCCGGCTAGTCTCGGGCGACCTCTCTTACTTACGGACCCCGGGGGGCCTGGGCCGAATATCGGCCTCAGGCCCGGAGAGCCCTTCTGGAGGGCCTGGGGGCGCCTCCTCCGCCCCCACGGCTGGCAGCAAAGTGCTGCTGGGTTTCAGCTCCGACGAGTCGGACGTGGAGGCCAGCCCCCGAGACCAGGCCGGCGGCGGGAGGAAAGACCGGGCTGCGCTCCAGTACCGCGGGCTCAAACCGCCGCCGGCCCCCCTGGCCGCCAGCGAGGTGACTAACAGCCATTCGGCCGAGCGAAGGAAGCCCCACTCGTGGTGGGGGGCCAGGAGGCCGGGGGCTCCCGAGCTGCAGACCCCGCCGGGGAAAGAGGGAGCCGCGGAGGACGACGACGAGGAGGGAGAAGACGGAGAAGTGCGAGACCCAGAGACCGAGGAGCCCCCGTGGCCGAGCCGGACCGTGAATGGCAGCCGGCTTCTCCCCTACAGCTGCCGGGAAAACTATTCGGACTCGGAGGAAGACGAGGACGACGACGTGGCCGCCACCAGACAGGTATTAAAGGACGACTCCCTGTGCCGACATCGGCCCCGACGGAGCCATAGCAAGCCCCTCTCCCCGCTGGCTGCTCGAGCTGCGGGCGGCCGGCTGGAGCCCGCGGGTCCGGGAGGGGGAGGACTCGCGATGAATGACAGGGCGGCGGCCACCGGGAGTCTAGACAGGAGCCGAAACCTCGGAGAGGCGGCGGCGGCGGGGGAGCCGGGAGGAGGGTGTGAGCCCCTGGACGCCAGCCCCGGCCCTCGATTCCGCGGGAACGCTAAGAAACTGGCCCCGCCACTCGGTGACCTGGACGCCACCTTGGATTCGGCACCCGGCGCCCTCCGGAAGACCACTAATCATGTCGGCGGTGGGGCCTTCAGTGCGGACTCCCCCAGGATTTATCCTAACAGCCTCTCGCCCGCTGTGGCCGTGGCCGCCCCTGGCGCGCTCAGACTCAATCACTCCAACCACACGGCCGCCAACCACAGCCCCCTGAAAACCGCGTACAAGCAGCCCAAGCTCTCGGAACCGGAGGAGGAACTTCTCCAGCAGTTTAAACGCGAGGAGGTGTCCCCGACGGGAGGCTTCAGTGCCCACTACTTGTCGATGTTTCTCTTAACTGCTGCCTGCTTGTTTTTCCTTATTTTGGGCCTCACTTACCTTGGAATGAGAGGGACGGGAGTAGCCCAGGAAGAAGGACTCAGCAGTAAGTATGAACCCCCTGGAGGGGGCTGGGTAACAAAGGGAAGGTTGTTGTTCCTGCTGGAGCTGGAGGGAGCATTTTACCTGAGGTGACTTTCACTTGCAAGAACTTGGCTTAACAGCGAGACCCGAGATGAAATGCATTTGTGTTATTTTTCTTTAAGAAAGCCATACTGTTACTATCATCCGAAAGAGATCTAATGATAGTAATTTAAAAAATTTTCTCGCATGCTGTATTGTGAAACTCAAAGCAGTCCGTAAAAGACCAAACGATGACAGGTTTCTTAGTTAATTGTCTCTCTCTGTGCGACAAGGTACTACTTGTGTAGGTGCCAGTTCTAAAGCAGTTTTGAAGTATTTTGTTTGTCAAGAGGCATCATTAATGCAGTGGGGTTTTTTTTTTGCAAATTGAGTTGTACTTCTAAAATGTAATGTAAGATATCTTGGAATTTGGGTTAAGTATTTTGTAGTATTCCATACACATAAGAATTTCTGTCATTTCTTTGAATTGAGTGAAGGACACATCTTCAAATTGATTACCCAACCCAAAGCAACTCCCCTGTCATCTGTGAAAGAAGTAGTGGTAGGCAGTGCAGGGGCTTGGCGTCAGATTTGTCTGCATTGGATTCCAGGCCCTGCTGTTTACTTGCTAGCTGTCTATAGGCAAGTAATGTTCATTCAGCCAGCATCTGAGTGCTTCCTGAATTCTGCACCTAGGAGACATCTCTAATCAGTCAGAGTCTCCTTGTCCTTAAAACACAAAAAGATTGTAGACCAACTTCTGCAGTGTGAGTGAAATAAGGACAAAGTAATTGGTTTGTGCTAATTTAGATTGAATAGTCAGAAGTACCCTTTGAGGTAATACTGGAAGCAGAAGGAGACAAGAGAGCTGGGTGGGGAACAAGAAAAGCAAAGACTGCATTGAGCAAGAACTTTCCCATAGACTAGTGTGGTTATACAAGGAGCTCTGCTAACCTAGTGGTTAGGAATCGGGCTGTGAACCGCAAGGTCAGCAGTTCAAAACTACCAGCTATTCCGTGGGAGAAAGATGAGGCTTTCTGCTCCTGTAAAGATTTATAGCCTCGGAAACCCTGTACAGGGTCACTATGAGTTGGAACCAACTCCGTGGCACACAGCCACCAGTGTGGTTATACACATTGGGGAAACGGAAGAGAACAAGAGGAGGTAATATTTATTAAAATGGTGATTGAAAGGAACAAGAGGGCGCTGATGCGGGTTTAAACCTCAAGGTTGGTGGTTCAAGTTCACCAGCTGCTCCTCAGAAACCCTATATAGAGTTGCTGTGGGTTGGAACCAACTTCATAGAACAACAACAGGGATCAAGATAGAAAGTAAATTAGTGTTTGATGGACTGGAGAATACATAATTTCACAGTGTTAGGTTCCTCTCCCCCATTCCACAGCCATCAAATCGATTCCGACTCATAGTGACCCTATGTAGTGTTTCCAAGGAGTGGCTGGTGGATTTGAACTTTGCTCTTCAAACCAACCTTGAGATCCAGTGCTTATCCTATAGTGCCACATGAGGACTAGTGGAATAATTGGTGGGATTTTATACAGAATTATTGATGAACACAATTCTGAATACCACTTTCATATTTTTCTCCTCACTAGATGAATGACTAATGTTTTCCTAAATATTAAAATGTGAAATGGAATCCTGTGTGGCACTGAATTAGTGCTCTGGACTGCAAGGTTGATTTGAACCACAAGGTTGGCGGTTCAAGCTTACTCACCGCTGCTCCCTGGAAACCCTATACAGGGTCATTGTGAGTTGGAAACGACTTGACAGCACTTAACAACAATATTAAATGGAGGAGATAGTATCTGCTGTGCCTGTGAGGTGTTTGTGAGGGTCAAATGAAAATTTGTTGAACAAATATATGAAAAACCAAAACCCACTGCTGTCAAGTCTATTCTGATTCATAGTGACTTCAGGACACAGTGGAACTTCTCCATAAGATTTCTTTCTAAGATGTTAAATCTTTACCAAAGCAGACTTTATGAAAGCCACATTTTTTTCCTCCAGTAGAGTGTCTCATGGGTTCGAACTGCTAACCTTTCATATAGCAGCCAAGCTTAACCACTGCACCAACAAATGTAAGGTCTCATTCAGACTCACTCCCATTGGATCAATTCTGACTCATAGCAACCGTACATAATGTTTCTGAGAAGGTAAATCTTTATGGGAATAGAAAGCCACCTCCTTCTCCCACAGAGTGGCTGGTGGGTTTGAACTGCCAACCTTTCATTTAGCAGCCCAGTACTTATCCTATAGCACCACCAAGGCTCCTTTCAAATACGAAGTAATCAAAAGCGTAGATAAAATTTATACATGGGATATAGTACGGAGTCCTGGTGTAGCACTGAGGGTTAATGCGCTAGACTGCAAAGTCTACTTGAAATGTAAGTTCAGAGGTTCAGGCTCACCAGTCACTTCTTGAAAACCCTATACAGGGTTGCTAGGGGTCGGAACTGATCGATAGCACTTAACAACATCAAGTAACAGTATATATGTAAACAGAAATAATTATGTTATTCCTGTAAATGACATGCAGTAGTGCACTTTGTTTACCTATTCAGCATTAATTTTCATTAGAATTCCATTAAATGCTCATTTTAGAAATTGATATCAAAATTTGAATCAAAGAATAACTGATGTCTTAAATCTATTATACACTTTTTTGTCATGACTTTTTTTTAAGTTTTTACTGTGAACTTAGTGAAAGTTTACATGGGAGAACATTGGCTTTATACCATCATTTCATTTCAATGATTAAAATCTCCTCTGTGCATCATCATTCAACAGTATTTGCTTCTATTCCCTCTGTTTTTTTCTTTTTTTGAGGGGGGTGGGGATCTACACAAAAACACTCAGGAATATATACTCATTTAAAGGAGCTCTGGTAGCGTAGTGGTTACGAATCGGGCTGCGAACCTTAAGGTCAGCGGTTCGAAACTACCAGACGCTCCGCGGGAGAAAGATGAGGCTTTCTACTCCCGTAAGGATTTACACCCTCGGAAACCCTGTACAGGGTCGCTATGGGTCGGAACCGACTCGACGGCACTTTAACAACAACAACAAACAACAAAAAGGGCACATTCTGCAAGCCTGCCTCCTGGCTGCCAACACACAGCCTTTCTCTTTTTATGAGTAGAGTCCTCAGCTGCTATATCTCTTCATGTCATCATGTCTGCCTCCATCTCTGGTGTCGCTTCTTCTCTGGATAGGGTCCCACATCCCACTTGTGCTTTTCTCCCTTGATGGTCTAGGGTCCTCTTTTCCTGGACTGTAAGATTAACTACTCCCCCTTTTTTGTTACAAAACTTTTACAGTGGTGACAATCGCAATTAGTCTCATCGTGACTTTTGAAGGTACATGACTCAATCCATACCAACAGATTTCTAAGACCACTGACACTTTCTTCTAAGTCTTCTGTTCTCAGGTTATGCATTTTACAAAGTAACAGTCACTTGTTTTAATTAGTCAGTCTTGGAGGTGAACAGTGCCAAGTTGAGCTGTCTCTTCTCAAAACACTCATTTTTTCCTGACTCTTCGTTCTGTAGGCAGAGCCCTTTCTGATACATTAACCCGCGGTCATATGTCTGCGGGTAGTCAGAATCCATTGAAAAGTATAGGGGGAAAAAAGGGAGAAATCTTAACTGAGAAGATACAGACATGAAGGAAGAAAAGGAGAGAGAGAGACTCAGCATGGGGTAGGAAGGAAAACGATAGGGAGAAGACTTATTTGCCCTGAATGCCATAACGAAACAGACAGTAAAATACAAACATTTCAGAGCAAAATCAGCTGTGTCCATGTTCCTTGTTGCCATTGAGTCAGTTCCGCTGAATAGCAATCCTTTAGGGCACAGACCTGCCCTCTAGGGTTTCCAAGACTATGTCTATACAGAAGCAGATGGCCACATCTTTCTTCTGAGGAGCAACAGATGGACTCAAAACTCCAAGCTATCCTTTGGCAGTTGAGCTCTTTAACTACTGTGCCACTATGGCTCCTTAGATGCTCCCAATGTGATTCTGATAATGGCAGGGACTCAGGTTTCCAGAATTGCCAATTCTTTACTTATATAAACACACACACACACACACACACACACACACACACACACACACGGAGTTTCTGTAGAGTATGATTAATGTTGGTATCCTGTATGTCAGAATATATGATATGCTTTGTATATGCTGTGGGAGTTGGTTTTGACTCAGCAATCCTGTATATTTCCGAAAGCAGTTGGTGGGTTTGAATTGCTGACCTTATGGTTGACTAGTCCAGTGTTTATAGTACAGGGCCACACTAGGGATATACTTGATCTATTGTATATTTGTGTTGTGTTGTAAGATACGGCACTGGACTGCAAGGTCGGTTTGAACCGCAGGGTCGGCAATTCAAACTCATCAGCTGCTCCTTGGAAACCCTATACAGGGTCACAGGAGTAGGAACCGACTCAGCGGCACTTAACAACAACAGTTGTATATTATGGTGGAAAAATGTGCACAGGCACTTTGAACTAACAGTATTTGTTAGTCTGCACACCTAACGGTGTTAGGGTTTCAGGAGTGAATAATTTTCACTCCCTTGTCTGAATCCTTTGTCATATTATGATGCTTAACCATAGGGTTCATTGGTCAAGTAGTGTACTTAAGGAAATAGTTTTACCTTGAGTAATAATTTCACCAGAAGATTCTAGGTTACATGTGAGAGTAAGCTTTAACAAGCTTTTATTAGTTATCACATTTAAATTGTGTAACATTTAATAGACTAGCCTTTCAAATAGTTTTTAATCATTTGTTCTAAGAAATTTCTTCATTTAAGGCACCTGTGAGTGGGTTTGAACTGCAAACCTTTTGGTTAGTAATTGAGCGCTTAGCTGTTTGAATCCTCTTTTTTTTTTTTAAATGTTTTATTGTGAATTATGTGATAGTTTACATGAGAGAACATTAGTTTTACATTCATCCTATTGTATA